CTTAAATTCAAGAAATCATTGTTAAGCTACTATGGCTTAATGTGATGAGTGAATCCAGTAATTCACTAATCTGTGGCTTCTCATTTAAAAATGTATAATGAAAAAACTTTGCAATATAGTTAGAACAAAATCAATTTTTGAAGATATATCAATATCAAATACATTGATCAAAATTATTGAATTAAGTAAATTTAAATGTGGTATTGTCATCACTGAAGTATATAAGCTTCAGTTTTCCTAGATATGTTCTGATGAGGTGGGTTTTTTTTTTTTTTTTGGCAACCCAGGTTATCAGAGGATTGCTGAAATTTTGGCCAAAAACATGCAGCCAGAAAGAGGTAAGTTTGATTATTTTTAAACTCATTATACTGAAATTAATCTAGTACAGCTCAGTAGGTCTGAAAGCTGTTTATCCCAGCTGTAATATGGATAACGTATAAGGGCTCTGTTTATATCTTTAGAAAATTATCTTGGCACCCCAAGCAGGACCTTAAGCCTGGCCCTTCTCTGGAGGAATACTGTGGGGTTTAGAATTCTTAGGCACTTACCCAGAGTCACTTGTCTGTGGTAAGACAGCATGATGGATCATTATAGAGAACATGAGTTCTCTTGGTCCCTCCTGCCAATGCATACTTCCTGGGCTGACACACTTCAAACTATGCTTTTGAGGGGAGTTTGCAGAGTTTTCATTCCTTTTCTAGCATGCTGCCCATTTATGGTCCTTGAGAAAAAAGTGAAAAACAGATCTGAGTCTTGAACATGAATTTCAGGCAGGGAGGAAATGTACCCTGCATATTCTTAAGAAATTAGCATTACATTGTGTTAAATCAGAAATAGTTAAAAGTTATCTTTTAAGAATAAAGTGACTGTTGCAATCCTGCTGTATCTATTTATAAGATACTTATTTTAGAGAATTTGTACTGCTCACATGACATAGTAGTACCGACACTATGTATGTCACTAGTGTTATGTGTAGTAATGCATTGGAATATATAAATAAATACTGTTCACATTGTGTTTTGCAGAATTTTAGTCATGTTGTTGAGTGTGGATTTTCTGAATTATATGTTGTTTTCATCATAGTTGCTGCAGAATATTTGTGCTTAGAACTGCTTAACTCTGAATCATAGCCTAACTGGGTATCCATGTAAACCTGTATATATCCATATAAAAGCTTAGGCATTTTTTATTTGGGTAATTTTTAAACCATTTACTAGAACATCTCAGTAGGCAGTTCTAAGAATATCAGATCTGTAGCGTTACTGATATTTAAAGGATGAGGAATTTGTTGGCAATCTGAGTAAAAGACTTCATGTAAGAGCAAGATATACATACTAGTATTTTGTTACAGTAATCTGTATCAGATTAAGGAAACTTTACATATGTAAAAACCATGTGCAGATAGAATTAGCATAGATTATAGAAAATCCTAGAAGAAAAAATTTATTTTTCAGACATTTGTCTTTCTGGCTGCTAATGATGTTACTATACAAACCTTTCTTCCCTAAATGCTTTTCTTTGTAACAGGTTATGTTTTTAGGTGAAATTGAAGAAATTCTGGATGTAATAGAACCAACACAGTTCAAAAAAATACAAGAGCCTCTCTTTAAACAGATAGCAAAGTGTGTGTCAAGTTCACATTTTCAGGTATAACTTGAGATTTTCAATATTTAAAAATTGACACTATCCAATCTCATTGTCCTGATATTTTAAAATGTGTATTTCAGATTGCAGAAAGGGCTCTGTACTTTTGGCATAACGAGTACATTCTTGGTCTGATTGAAGAGAACATTGATACAATTTTGCCAATTATGTTTGGCAGTTTATATAAGATCTCCAAAGAACACTGGAATCCGTATGTACTCCTTACTGTTTAGTATTTTAAAATCCCTTTGTATATTGTGGATTAGTCTCATCTTAAATATTTTGGTTTGTAGGGCATACACACCATTTTAAAAGAGTGCACTTGTGTACATAGTGTGATGAAAATGCATGTAAAAACAACTCTGCACAGAACTGCAAGTGCTAAATCATTGATATTGCTATTTGTAAGATGTGTTTTGAAATGATTTATTATGCATTGTCATAAAATCATAAAGTTGGAAGTGACCTCAGTTCATCTGGTACAACCCTCTGCTCAGTGCAGGATCCCTTAGAGCATTTCTGATAGATGACTATTCAGCAGCTGTTTGAAGACCTCCAGTGAAGGAAAAGATGCCACTTTATGAGGCAACCTATTCCACTGATTGACAGCTCTTATGATAGGAAATTCTTCCTCTTATCTAATCTGAATCTACTTCCCTATACTTTCACCCTACGGCAAAAGAAGATGCATTTCTAGATATTATCTGATTATATTTGTCCCCCTCAATTTGCTTTTTCACAGGCTAAATCTATCCAGTTCCTTTAATCATTCCTCACAGGACTTCATTTCCAGCCTGTATCACCTTGGTAGCCATCCTCTCAACTTCTTCCAGTTTGTGGGTATCCGTTTTAGATTGCAGTGCCCAAACTGGACACAGTGTTGTGAGTGGGACCTCATCGAGGCAAAATAGAGTGGGACAATTACTTGATCCCATGTTCTCTATACTCCTGTGTATAAATTCCAAAATAGCATTTGCTTTGTTAGCAGCTGCATCAAACTCTTAGCTCATGTTTAATTTGTGATCTGCTTGAGCACCCAGATCCTTTTTATGGTACTACTGCCAAGCCAGGTCTCCCCCATTGTATATTTGTTTCTTTCATTTTTCTCCTTAGATGCAGGAGGAACTTTATTTGGTCCGCTGTTTAGGATTGGGTAGATGTTTGTATCTTCTCTTTCTCTTCTGAAGTTTAGCCATTCCTAGTTTTGTGCTATCTGCAAATTTGGTAGTCATCCCCTCAACTCCTTCCAGGTCAGTAATAAAAATGTTGAACAGTACAGGGCCCAGGACAGAGATCTGTGGCACTCCACTTCGTATTTCTGTCCAAGTTGATATGGAGACATTTATGAGTGGTCATTCAGCCAATTATAAATCCATCTAACAGTGATATCATCTAGCCCATATTTTACAGTTTTATCGAGGATTTCATGAGAGGCTTTGTCAAATGCTTTGCTATGGTCAAGGTATAACCTTTCAGCCAAAATGCAATAAAACTTTACTTGTAGAGGGCAGTCAAAATTATGACAGCAACCAACTACTTAAAAATCTACATAAAACAGTTTAAAAGCTCAGTGTGGCTTGCAGGGTTATGTATGCAGATTTCAAGTCACTTAATGGGATTCTTCTCTGTCTTCTCCTTGCTGTGTCCCTAAAATCTTATCCACAGCATCTGCTGGTAGAGGTTTCTGCTGAGAATAAACATCAATAGATTCATTCTCAGAGTTAAAAATCTGGTGGTGCCCAAGGAAGCCTTCCTAGGAGGGCATTCTATAATCAAACTAATGTTAAAATTAGTCAAAATGTTTATTATAAGTCATAAAGGAATTGATAGACATTAATGGCTACTCTCAAGGAAATCAGTATTTAACACACTTTACTAGCCAGATAATCATATACCTTAATTTGATTTTTCATTTATTGCTAGAGTAATTTTAGCTGAAATACTAAACATAGGAGGCCCTTAGGAATATATTCTTGCATTTTATACTTTGTGTTAGATTTGTGCAGCACCCTTTGCACATACAGTTGTCTTTGATTTATATTAGATTGTAACTTTGTAGCTATTTACTATGATAATCAATAATTCAGTCACCCTGTTGCTTTAAGTTTGGTTGATTAAAGACAAATAACCGTAATGTCCATGCTTGGAGTTTGCAGACTCCATCGTTTCAAAACTAATTGCTATTGTTTATTTTAGATAAAATGGTGGCAGAATGCAAGCAGAAGCTAGGTAATCACACTAGATGATAGAATATATATCTTAATGATACTTTTGCAACTTACCCTGTTGTTCTAGGACCATTGTAGCATTAGTATATAATGTGCTGAAAACACTGATGGAGATGAATGGCAAACTATTTGATGAACTCACAAGCACTTACAAAGCAGAAAGACAAAGGTACATTTTTCCAGTTTGATTACAGATAATGTGCCTGAAATCGTCTTCCAGAGTAATGCTGATTTGACATTATAATAAAGCAATAGTTTTGCAGCTGAATGACCTCTCCCCACTATTCATATTAACAATGTTTATCCATTTCTACTAAATAAATACATCTCTTCCTTAAACCCATTTCTTCTAAGGAGCCTTGCTTGGGTTATTTAGGCTTGTCTTGTACTTAGCAGCTCTTCCTGCTCCAAATTCAGTCCTTTCCTTTTCACCTTTGCTTTTGCAAGCATTTCTGCTTATACTTGAGGTTTACTTGAGTATTAAGGGCTGTTGCAGTTTTTTGCTTTCCATGCAATAAGGTACAAATTTAAAATTTATACCCTGCCTTTCTTGTTACTAACAGACTGATTATAGTTAATCTGCTGAGATTTTTCACCAGGGGCATCTTAACAACTGCATGTTGAGATACCAGCTTGCACATCCATATAAGTTGCCTGCATCAGCAGAGGCTTTGGGACACCTTCAGCCGCTATTAGTGGGGTGACCAGCAGGGACATGGGACACAGCCTTCTTCAGAGCCTTCGCTTCAGCATGATTTGATTCCTTTTGCTGCTGAGATTTTGTTGCTGTGTACAGCAATGTGCTGCTGTTAGTTTGTTTTTACATATGTACATGGGTGCTTCCATTGAATGTATGGAAGGAATTTTTGATAGGAAAGTAGCCTAAATAATAATACAGAGCTAATCTATTCAGGATGGATCTTTTCTGCAGTGCAGAAAAGTAGCTTCTTTCCAAACCGTTTGGGAAGCTGTAATCACCTAGTTTAACACTGCCACTTATTTTCTCCTCTGTCCCTTAGCAAATTCTCTGTAAATTAAAGGAGAACAGGAACATTTAGGGTTGTGTTAGTAGAAATTTATTAGGTCAGTACCAGTATAGGCTTCATTTGCAGGAAGAAATGAAATACATATACCTAGAGATGTTTCCCTGTGGAGGAAGACTGGAGCAGCATGTGAGCGAGATGCTATAGAGGAGTGCTCCTCAACCTCAGCAACTTTGAGATGTGTAGGCTTTAATTCCCAGAATTCCCCAACCAGCTATAGAGGATGGACTGGTATAGGCTGCCAATCTGATCAGCCCTGATCTAGAGACACTTTGGTTAAAAACGGATACAGGTAGTCCTCTAGTTATGACCACAATTGGGACTGGAACTTCTGTCACTAAGCGATGCAGTCGTTAAGTGAGTTGCACCTGATTTTATGACTTTTTGGCTGTGGTCATTAAGCAAATCACTGTGGTGGTTAAATGAAGCATGTGGTCGTTGACTTCACTTGTCAGAAGTCCCTTGGGAAGGTCACGAATGGCAATCATGTGACCCCGGGATACTGCAGCTATCATAAACACATGGTGGTTGCCAAGTGCCCAAATTCTGATCACGTGACTGTGGGGACGCTGTGATGGTTGTAAGTGCGAGGACTGGTCATAAGTCACTTTTTTCAGCACTGTTGTAACTTTGAACGGTTGTTAAACAAGGTCATAAGTCGAGGACTACCTACATCTTAAATTAAGGGACAGCTTAAAAGGTTTTTAATGTATTCAGATTATCCTTTTAAAAACTTTCATACATTGTTTCCTATTAAAAAAAAAATCTCAACTTGGTCTACTGTTAGCATAGAGTTCTGCAGTGCTATGGATTAAAGGCAAAAAGGTGCTTTGGAATGTGTGGGGGACATGCATGTAGTCTTGTCTGCAGTTCCTTAAACTGAACATATCTGTTCCTGGAATCATGGTATAGTTGCATGTTCCTGAGAAAAGATGCAGTTACAGGTAGACCTTGCTTACCGACTGCCTCATACAGTGACCATTTGAAGTTACAACAGTACTGAAAAAATAACTGACCAAGGCGCACATTTGTGGCCTTTGCAGTGTCTCTCTGAGTTATGTGTGCGCCACCACAGTCAGTTACTCTGTGTTGTCCTGAGCCTAACAGGTAACAATTAGTTTTATGCTTTATTTGTGTGTGTGGAGGGGTGTGTTTTTGTGATCTGGAGTTGGTGTTCTGGTTGGCTGTTTTTGGTATTTTGGGATATATGTTGTTGCTTTTTAAAATTGTAAACTGCACAGAGTTGTTGAGGAGTTCGGCAGCCCTGGTACATACATACATACTGATATGGCTTATTCAATGAGACTAACTATATTTTAGCAACAAATTCAATCTTTTGCAAAGGGAATCTTTTCTCTTGCACTCAGTGCATACTGTTATTTCTGGTTTAAGCTTGAGAGGAGTATTTAGAAAATTCAATACTGTATATAGTTTTAGTAGAAGCCCTAGAATTAGCATTTGTTAGCATACAGGTAGTCCTCACTTAACAACCACAATTGGGGCTGGAATTTAGGTTGCTAAGCGATGCTGTCATTAAGTGAATCATGTGACCAGACCCAATGTATGACATTTTTGTGGAGGTTGTTAAGTGAATCACCATGGTCATTAAGTGAATCATGCAGTCGTTAAGTGAATTGTGCAGTTTCCCAGTGATTTTTCTTGCTGGAACCCAGCTGGAAAGGTTGCCAATGGTGATCACATGACCCCAGGAGACTGTAACCATTGTAATTGCAAGCTGGTTGCCAAGCACCCAGATTGCGATCATGTGACTTGCAGGGGAGCTGCGATGGTCGTAACTTTGGGTACCGGTTGTAAGTCACCTTTTTAGCACTGTTGTAACTTTGAACAGTTGCTAAATGAATGGTTGTTAAGCGAGGACTACCTGTAATTGGTTCCATTCTTTATCTGAGCTATTTTCAGGTAGGAAGATTGGGTAACAATATTTAAAAATACCCAAGAAATTGCTGAGAAATCCAGCCATAAAGGCTTTTGATATATTTAAACCTGATCTGATTCTAGCATCTTGTCTAATATCTGTTTTGGACTGGACAAGACTATGTGAGCAGGCATCTCATGACCATTTCAGACAAAAGGATCTTGATAGCAGGACACTGCCTTTTTCACTTTTTAAATTCTCAATCTTTTGATTTTAGTTTGAAAGAGTAGTCTTGATGACTACCAAACCTTATCTTCTACAAGCAGTCTAGACATGCTCCAATTGAGAAGCACCCCCCTTTATACTGCCAAGAAATTGTAGCTTCCTTACAATTGATAGTAATGGCAAAGGACAATTGTTTGTATTATAAAAGGAAACTTATTTCAGTACTTTTTGATTAGCATATTTTATAGCACTATAATATAATCAAGGTTAATTATTCATTCACATAAAGCTTTAGTTATATTCTCCCATCACCTTTTTTATCTTTCTAGGCTCTTGTGAACATAGAGACTGGAATGATAAAAACGTGTTTTCTGTTGAGTGAAACCGTGACATTATCTAGCTCAGTATTGTCTGTACTGACTGGTACCAAAGAGGCTCATGCTAGGAAAATCAAGTTAATTTTTATGATATCTTTAGGATTTCTGATAATCTTTATTAGCTGCTCACATGGATAATGGATAAAGAATCTTTCACATTTTTTTACAGAGAGAAGAAGAAAGAATTAGAACGTGAAGAATTGTGGAAAAAGCTGGAAGAACTCAGACTCATGAAAACATTGTCTGACCAGATGAGTAATACCTCCTCCTCTGTGATAAATACACCAAATGATAAAGTAATACCTCCTTCTCTGTGATAAATATACCAAATGATAAAGTGCCAAGTGAGTGTGAAAGCCTCTGTTTGTGAGGCATCCCTTTTGTATACAGATTTTTAAAAAATATGTAAAAAATGCAGAAGAGAAACCTCATCAGTATCTTTGAAATGGCCATTTCCCCCCCCTGGCAAAATGTAAATGAAATTTTTTGAACTGAAATACAGTAATTGAATGTGATATTATTTACCATAGCATACTGTAAATTTGTCTCTAATCATTGCTATATTGTCAATTCTGACATCTCACAGAAAGGAATTTTATCATCCATGATGTGTGTGATTTAATTATGGGAATGGTGAAATTTTGACTTGAAGTTTTCTTTTTCTTTTTAATTGTGTTGCATTTAGGCATAGATGTCAGGCAACTACATTTTCTCCCCATGTGCTTCTCCTAGTGCTGCAGGCTTTGGCTGAGACTCAGGAAGAGACTTGTAGCTTTACTGTATTTCCTGAAATGAAACTAAGATGATAATATAATATCCAGTTAATGGGATTGAATCCCATGAGGCTTGGTGGGGCTTGCTTCTGAGTAAACATGTATCACTTGAGTTGAATCTGCCCATTACAGTATCACAGGTCAGGCTATTGTATAAGAATGTTCAGTTTAGAGAGGTCAAGATTCAAAATTATACGAGGAACCTTCTCAAGTAGAAAAGACTTGTTACGGATATTCTCTACTTAATGTGGTTGAGTGGGCTGTAGAAATGGATAGAGACATGGAAGGGAGTAAGATCAGCTCAGCTGAGTTGGGCTTCTCCCTCCAACAGTTGTAATTGTGTGAGGAGAATGCCTGGACAGGACTTATACTACATTATGTGTCCTGCTTAAGCAGTTACATGAACTCTGAATGAGGAAAGATTGTTAATTTTTAATCAAGGATTATCCACATAGTTCTTATGCCTCCTCTTAGGAAAGATTCAGTAATCATGTTTCTGTTCCCATAACTAAAAATTGGAACCTATCAATTACACTCTATACTTTGACAATTTTTGTAGAACCTAGTTGTACTTGCTTTCAACCTGGCCCTGCAGGGTGGCCCAGCTGCTCCATTTAAAGCTTGGGCTGTGCAATTCCTACGCAGACATGCAAGACAGCTCTTTGTGTTAAAAGAAATACGATGCTTAAGATGGCAAAAACTAATTCTTGAAGTGTTGTCTGTTTTTACTTGATCAGTGGGGTGCTCTTTTGCAGATCTTTATATCAGAGTATCATTCCAATCTCTTAAATTTCAATTGTGTGGAAAATGGTTTTGTATTGAAAGACTGAGGGATTGAGCAGCATTCAATAAAGTCTTTATGTTTGTAATTAGTGCTGTATATTACCATCTTTGTAATTTAATTATTATAAAATAGCAGAATGGTTATATTGACGGGCTATTTTCAAGCCAAATATTCACATGATTGTAACATTTAATTAACAGGTTTAAATAATAAGAACAAGATTAAGGCAGGTAGCAGTTATCAAACTGAAATGAAGATAGGTTGACACAATACATGTAGATACTCTAATTTTAAGTTAGGCCTTTTGTAAAAGAAAAAATAATGGGTATTATCCAGTGTTGCATGGACAGCTATACAGTATACTTTTTGGTGGGGTTTTTGTTACTCAGATCTGCTCCAAAGGGTCCCCCAATATTCTGGAGTAGTTTTCAGGAGCATGGGATAGGGTGGGGAGTTACAGGAGAAATGCCAATTCATTCTACTCAATGGACATCATTAGATTTCACCGAACATCAAACTGTTCTAATATTTTATGGCCCTCAGTCTCCTCTTCACTTTATTGACTAAACAAAACAAGATTCTATCTTTTGGACATGTTCACACTTCAAAATAAAATGGATGCCTAGTTCATACACATCTTTATGTCTACAAATCCCTGGAATTAGATATAATAATGGTATTTGGATTTGTATGGCAACATTCCAAACCTACAAACAGAATCTTGGATTGTCATGCTTCACATATTTAGAAGTAGAATACTATGGACTTCATATTCTACTGACCCATCAGAAGGGGGCTGAAATGTAATGCAGAACAGTTAACATAATTTTAAGTAATTTTCATCATACTACCATACTCTGCCTGAAAAGATTTAAACAGGAGAAAAATGTTTTAAGTAAATATAAAATGAGTATTTCTTAAGAAATAATAATTATCATTGTAATATGTGTTTTCTCTTTTTATTACTTACGGAATTATGAATAAATTTGATATCTGTAGGTTTTGGAAGAGGTCTGAAGGTTGGAGAACTTTATCCATCTATTATGACAGTACCAATATTTTAAGTACAGGTAAATCCTTGACTTACTACCACAATTGGGACCAGAACTTCCTTTGCTAAGCGATGCGGTCATTGAGTTGTGCCCAATTTTATGATCTTTTTTGCCAGGGTCATTAAGCGAATCACCATGGTTGTTAAGTGAATCATGTGGTTGATAAGTGAATCCAGTTTCCCCCATTGACTTTGCTTGTTGGAAGCCCCTGGGAAGGTTGCAAATGGCAATCATGTGACCCCCAAGACATTGCAACTGTCATAAATACAGTGGGGCAAAAAAGTATTTAGTTAGCCACCAATTGTGCAAGTTCTCCCACTTAA